TAAAAAAGTTTTACCTAAACCCCCCTTTAAAATGGGAAAAAGTAAAATTAAAGTCATATGATAACATACTAAACAAGTTATTACTAATTCGGTGAATATGTGGAAAAAAAATATCTTAAAATAACAATAACAAACAATGTAATAATAACAACGCAATAATAATATACAAAATATAATAATTTAATATTATTTTTTATGACAATAGAAACTTACAATTACTACCTAAATGTGCACAGTAAGTAAACCTTGCACATGTGTTATAAACTCCGCAAAAGAAGTAAATCACATTATTAAAAATGTTATCCGACGAGTTCAATCAATAAGGTGTTGGTATAATAGAACTCATGGTTAATTAATACTAATTTTTTTAGAACAAAAATTAATACAGTACTAATTTTGTCATTAATAATTTTATTTTATTTTTTTACTCTCCATCTTTGAGTTAGTTCCTAGGTTAAAGAAAATATAAATAAGCTGGTTGGTATTTCCAAAGTAGGAATCTATTATACACTACTGATAAGTGATAAATTAATGAAGATGACAGCAATTAAGATAGGTTTAAGAGGAACACAAAATACTAGTCTTTTGTCATTTTTTTTCATGAAGGAAAATGAGATCATCAGAGGAAAAAAAATAATATATATATATATATATATATATATATATACTTTTGTTCAAATGCGACCGCGCCCTCCCGTGGGGCCGTTTGACAAAATACACCAACAATGCTAACAAAAAGTATCAATAATGTTATGAAAAAGCACAACAATGAAATGCACAAATATTTCAAAAAACACACAACACATCAAAAAAAAAAAAATGCACCATATGACTCCCCACTCTAGTGGTGTATATCTGAATACTGTATGATGTTTTTATTCATACCTAATGGTGCGTTTTTTGTGATTCGTACCTAATTTGTGCATGTTTTTTTGTTGTGCATTTCTTAACATGGATGGTGTATATTTGTATAACTATTGGTGCGAGCGCACCTGAACTCGACTATATATATATATATATATATATATATATATATATATATCAATGACATTGTGATCTAGTGGTACGAAGTGACTTTCCTATATGAAAGGCCATGAATTCGCCCCTCAGTATATGTGATATTGTCTATTTTTGTGCTTTAGTATATTGAGAAAGTATTTATAATTTATGAATAAATATTGTATTGTAACAGCGTAAATAAATATATATATATTTTTTATATTTATATGTTGGAAACTTGGAATACAGCTACATTAATGATTGCTTGTGGAAGTGAAGCTCCAATTGCCTTTTTAGTTTGAGTGAAGAATTGGATGAGATGATTCACAATTTATATTTGTAGATATCAAATACTCGGAGTATTTGATTTGGAGTCGCTAAGATAATTGTAGCATGATAAAAGGATTACTTCGATGATTTAGTAGGCAGTAATTGAGAGAAGATATTAAGGTTTGAATCTCAACCGCAATAGTCTAGAAATTATGTCTAAATTGGATAGATTTATTGTGTGCATTGCCATATGACCATGATTGTTAAGTCGTTGAGTCACTGTGATTTACAGCATTTCAAATATTTTGTCACGCAATTGTGACATAGGTGTAGGGGCCCTTGGAGTTAGGGATTCAATCTTTTGGGAGAAGGGGTTACTTCGAATCTTCGATGAGTGAGTTTGCATAATTTTTCATGAGAATAAAATAAATTATAGAAAGTCTCACAACAAAATTTTTGGCATTTTTCCGCTACTTTATTCTTCCAAAAGATTGTACCCCAATCCTAAGGGCTCCTTTTCAGCTACTTTATTGAGTCTACAAACGAGTGTTCAAAATGTTAGACGGACAAGTGACTTAGTGATAATCTATAAAATCAAGTCTTCTTTAAATTAGAGATTTCAACTCCATGTTAGTTAAGGAAGCTATTAGATAGCTTATTCAAAGAGAGTAAAAGTGTTCACTTAGGTATTATACATGTAGAAGTACATAATTTACCCTAATCTTGTTGGATTTCCCCGGTATAGATAGATTCATAGATTTGTCTAATTTTTTATTTATATATTTTATTTCCTTGTATTTCAAAATTTTATTATTGTTAAAATATGAGTGTCAAACTTGAACCGTTCTCTAGCCCAAGGCCCAAGTACTTGGCAGATTAGGACTCGGCCCATATATCAATTTTCTATGAAATGCCAATTGGCCCAAAAGATAATGAACCCATGGGCTTTTAGTGCTAGCAAAGCGACTGTTTAGAACAGCAGCTTTAAATCTAAGGCCCGAACAATAATTTGCAAATTTGCGGTCCCTCGCGATAAATTATGGCAAATTATATTGTGGTGCACAATGAATTATGCACCGAACTTCTAAACGACGTCGTTATATTTAATGAAAAAGAAACGGCACATGTTTCGCACCGTTTCGCAAAAAGTAACTATGTTATTCAATTTCATTTTGTATGCACTGCAGTTTCATTTCGATATAACTACAGTTTCATTCGATATTTATAGACTCAAATATGTGAAAATGTTATTTACTTTTATTTTATATACACTATAGTTTTATTAAAACACAACTACATTATTATTTCGATATAACTACAGTTTCATTGCACAATATACACTCAAATATGTAAAATATTATTCAGTTTCATTTTATATACACTGCAGTTTCATTTCAATACAACTATAGTTTCATTTCAATTTATTTGCAGTTTCATTTGATAATATAAAAAAAATACGTGAGGTATTGTCAGTTTAGATACACTGTAGTTTCATTTGATAATTAATATACCAAACATGCGCGTTCGGTTAACTGTAACGGCGCCCCGTTTCTTTACTTAAAGAAACGGTGCCTTTTTGAACCGCGTGCCACAAAGCTTTGTGGACCGTGGTCCACATTATAATTGCTGACAAATTATATTGTAGACTATGATTCACATTGTAAGATAGACGATTTATATATGTTCATTTTTAAATACGATTGATATAGGCGTTGCTTAATCTAGATTCATATAGGCCCTGTTTGGTAATATAGTTAGTTTTTCAATCAATTTTGACTTATCTGACCATTATCAATCAATTTTGACTTATTAGGTCACTATTAGCCGTTTGACTTGGTTAAACAATAAATATGAGTGTTTGATTAATTAGTTTTGTGTAACAACTTATTACTCTAAAAGCTGTTCAAAACAGTTTTTTCGATCAATTTTTAATAAAGTCGTTTTGCATGTAATCAGCTATTAACTAACAACTAATTTACCAAATAATTTTCTACAATCAGCTAATGCTATCAACTAGTCAAACTCACTAACTCAATCAGTTAGCAACTATTTACCAACCACCCCATAATCTTTTATTTGATTTTTGTTCCCACGTATATCAAAAAGAAAAAGAATTGGTTGGGAATTGAATGAATTAATATGTCACACTCAATGTTGCAAAACACGTTAGGCGCCCCCTAGGCGGCAAGGGGGCGCCTAGCGCCTAGACGTCGATTTTTTTATTTTTTATTTTTAAATTTATTTTTAAATTTTTTTTATTTTGTAATTAAAAATAAAATTAAAAATTAAAATTTTTTAAAATTTAGTAATAAAACATAAGGTTTTCATAGTTATTTCTTAGAAACTATTTACGAAAGTGGTTGTAAAAGTGTTCAAAAGATTGTTTAAACCATCTAAATACATAAAAAACTAAAATTAAGAGCTAAAGAAGCATTTTTCTTTTGAGAAATTAGTGGACCAAACCGCCTTAGGCAGTTTGCGGATCTCGAAAAAATACGTGATTTCAAAAAAAAAAAAAATGTCCAAAACGAACAACCGAGTCAAAAGTTATGCCTTCCCGAACTTTTCGCAATTTAAAACGCAAAAAAACAAAAAAAAAAAACAAAAAAAACAAAAAAAAAAAAAACAAAAAAAAAATCGCGGAGGAGGCCGATTCCGGCCTTCTTCGCGGCAGCGGCCGGGCGCCTAGCGCCTAGGCGCGATTTTTGCAACCTTGGTCACACTACATGAAATACGCTGTTATGCATATGAGGTGTTAGTGTGTTACTCGCATGGATTGTGCCCCTCGCATTTTCAATGTTGCTTGATTTAGATTCTTATAATTTTTTTCTTTGATTTTTGTTCCCTCAAATACCAAAAAGAAAAGGAATTAAAATAATTATTGATCGGGTCCAAAAAAAAAAATCTAGGTCAATGTAGCGTTGATATGGCTGAGGTCTGAGTTATCAGATACGGTCTTGAGAGAGCTTGGACTAATAACTTTGAAAGAGTGATTATATATAGCAACCCGTAAATTTGGTGCATTGGATAAATGATCCAAATTTCTCTTCGGAGGGCGGTGGTCCTTTGTTTAATATGATTCTAGAGTGCAAACAGGGAATGAAAAAGAGATGGACTATCAAATGCTGCCACATCCTTCGTGAACAAAACCAAGTCGTTGATTGACTTGCAAGGAGTTGTGACATTGGTTGGGATTTGACCTTGCTTCCGTTCTGCCCATCGAGAGACCAAATATCGGTTCATCATATCCGCAAAGACTAACTTTTCATGTGTTTCTTTCATGGGCTTCCTGAATTCACAAATATGTGTAAGATTACAAAAAAAGTTCTATTACATGTACTCTCAAATCTTACCCTCTAAATTTTATTCCATAGTGTGATGGACTTTAATAAGTTATTTTTTCCAAATGAATCTTAATACAAGTGTTTACATCAAGAATTTGTGTGTCAGAGTACAACTAGTATTTTTCTTACAAAAAAATCTCTTATCTATTACATGTTATTCATTATGATTATTCTCGCTCAGATTCATAAAATTTGGAGTGTTCCTTGAAACGCGTGCCCCGTTGTTTGCTATTGTTGTGGATGGTTTTACCTAAATTTTTGTAATTCTTAAAAAGTTTTTTTTTTTTTTTTTTTTTGAGATTTTCCAAAAAAAAATAAAAAAATGTTTGATTTATTGTATCCTCAATTCCTCATATGACTTAACACTAAAACAGTAAATATTGCAGACTGAAAATATGAGAGTGAAAAGATAAATCAAAAACTCAAAAAAGAAACTGAAAACAGTTGAAAGCTACAGTCTTCCCCCCAACCACTCCACACTTCAGTCACTTCAACCCTCACTCGCATGCTTTTTCTCATCCATTTCCGTTCCTAAAACTTCGCAATCTTCTCTCCTCCGCGCTCCGCCGCCACCGCCGCCGTCACAATGGCTGCGACAACCGCCTTCGTCCTCGTCCTCTTCTTCTTCCTCGACGTGAGCCTCGCTTTCGCTGCCGCCTCAACGGAAACCGTCGTTCCAGAGGACGACGTGCGGTGCTTAGAAGGCGTCAAAGCCGCGCTCTCCGATCCGCTCAATAAGCTCGGTGCGTGGTCGTTCTCCAACGACTCCGCAGCTTCAATCTGCAAGCTCGACGGGGTTTCCTGCTGGAATCAGAAGGAGAATAGGTTGATTTCTATCCAGCTACCGGCGATGTCGCTCTCCGGTTCGCTCCCTGCTTCTCTCCAGTTTTGCCGCTCTCTCCAGTCTCTGGATCTCTCTGGTAACTCACTTTCTGGTTCTATTCCTTCGCAAATCTGTGTCTGGCTACCTTACCTTGTCTCCCTTGATCTCTCTGGTAACTCCTTCTCCGGCGCCATCCCTCCTGATCTCGTTAACTGCAAGTTTTTGAATACTCTCGTTCTCAACAATAATCAGCTCTCCGGTGAGATTCCCTACGAGATCGGACGCCTGGAGAGACTCAAACGTTTCGCCGTCTCGAACAATGATCTCTCCGGGACGATTCCGGCGGATTTGGCTAGGTTTTCCAAGGATGATTTTGAGGGGAACTACGGGCTTTGTGGAGGCCCGTTGGACTCCAAATGTAGCCGGCTGAGTAAGAGAAATCTATCGGTTATTGTGGCTGCTGGAGTGTTGGGTGCTGTAGGATCCCTGATCCTTGGGCTTGGTATTTGGTGGTGGTTCTTGACTGGTTCAAGTAAGAAGAAGAATAAAGAAGTTGAGGAGGGTAAATGTGATAGTGATTGGGTTGATAAATTAAGAGCTCATAGGTTAGTTCAAGTGACATTGTTCCAGAAACCGATTAATAAGATAAAGTTGAATGATATAATGGTGGCAACAAATTGTTTTGATAGTGGAAATGTGTTGTTATCTACCAGAACTGGGATTTCTTATATGGCTATGCTGCTTGATGGATCTGCATTGGCGGTCAAAAGATTGAGTGGTTGCAAGATGAACGAGAAGCAGTTTAGGTCAGAAATGAATCGTTTAGGGCAGCTTAGGCACCCCAATTTGGTACCTTTATTGGGTTATTGTTTGGTTGAGAATGAGAAGCTTTTGGTGTATAAGCATATGCCTAATGGTAGCTTATATTCGGCTTTGCACGGGAGCCTTTGTACTGGTGTTAGGAACAATAGATATGAGCTTGGTTGGCAATCTAGGCTTAGGATAGCTGTTGGTGCAGCAAGAGGGCTTGCTTGGCTGCATCATGGCTGCCAACCGCCCTATTTGCATCAATACATTAGCTCGAATGTGATTCTAGTGGACGATGATCTTGATGCTAGGATAACTGATTTTGGCCTTGCCAGGCTCGTTAAATCAGCTGACTCCAATGATGGTTCTTTTGTCAATGGCGGTCTTGGGGAATTCGGGTATGTTGCTCCTGAATACTCGAGCACTCTGGTTGCATCGACAAAAGGAGATGTCTATAGTTTTGGGGTTGTGCTGCTGGAGCTGGTGAGTGGGCAGAAGCCTCTTGGAGCAGGCAATGCACAGGAAGGGTTCAAGGGGAGCCTAGTGGATTGGGTTAGTCATCTCTTAGTCTCGGGCCGAAGTAGGGATGCCATAGACAAACACCTTGTTGGGGGAGGACAGGAAGATGAAATCATGCAGGTTTTGAGGATTGCTTGCTCCTGTGTAGCTCCAAGACCAAAGGATAGGCCTTCTATGTACACTGTTTACCAGTCCTTGAAGACCATGGCTGACAAACATGGTCTCTCTGAACAATTTGATCATGAGTTTCCAATGAACTTTGGAAAACAAGATGACAATCCAAAGGACTAGATTGCTCCTGCAACCAAAGATTAAGCATCATCATATTGTCTCTTATCAGATGAACCTCAATTATTATGATGCCATGTTACCCAAACCTTTCTACTGCCAAGAGGTAATTCTCCTTTCTATTGTCCATCAAATTGTTGACTATGTATACTAGAAAATCAAAAGCTCAATGGCATCCTGGCATCTGGTTTCTTGACAGAAATCTTGCCATTTGCCAACATTGCAAAAAAAAAAAAAAAAAGCAGCTTGCTGTATTCATCTTGATGGCTTTGAGATAATTCACTTCATGTTAAAATATTTTGGCTCTGCCATTCATATTCTTGACTTGATTCCATGTTCAAAACAAACTGTTGATTACAGATCTATGACTGACCCAGAACCAAGAATGTTCAATACATCATCAGAAAACAGTTCATCTTTAACCATTGATTTCTTGAATAAACTCATTGTTTCTTTTGATAATGAAGAAACCCGTAGGCCGTAGCCACTACTTAAGTTTGTGCACTAGGTTAACCTGACTTTGTGATCCTAATTGGCAAAAGTCCATAAGTAGGTAAACTAACCTAGGATGTACATAGTTGACTGGTACAAACCAAAGAGGGTCAATAAGTTGCTTCCACTAAGTGTCGAATTTGAAATTTCGTAATTATCAAGTGCTGATGAACTTAGATTGCCCCGAATAAACTGTTTGATGACAACACATTGTAGATTTGCAACAGTTATTGCAGCTTTAGAACCTGAAAAAAGCATGCATGCCACTCCATTCTCGTGATATCATTTATGACTCCATGATTGAAAGACAGTGGGGTGGTCAACATTATCTACTTTGTAATTTGTTCACAAAAATTATTTAAATTTATGTTGGACCGCACAATACGTTATGTTGGCCCTCTGTTCTAAACCCCTCCATGTGAACCATCACCTTTGTGTTCTTGTCTTTGCCTAAAATTATATATTCCCCCGTCGCATTTTAATTGTTTTATTTACAATTTTTATTTTTGTTGATTTGCATTGATTGAAAAAAGATTTTAAAGGAATTTTTATAGTGTTCATCGTATTTTATTAGTAATGATTTTTAATAGTATCTAATATAATCACATATTGTGTCGGTATAATTATTATTGAAATTGAAAACTATTTCAATAATAAGTAGTATAATTCAAATTGGTTGGACGGTTAATTTGGTGATTATAAATTGATGTGGTAAATTTCACCGGGTATATGTATTTGTATTCGGTTAAGTAGTATAATTGAGGATTGTGGCTCGAGTTACAAGGTCCGAGGGTCGGAGGTCCCCGAGCTTATAAAGATTTTAGAAAGAGAGTCGAGAGTCTCCTTTACAGGAGTATGATGTGGTATTTATAGGGGTTTGAAAAGGACACATGCCAGAGGATCGGCATGTGTGACACATGTCTCTCATGCACTCGGCGATCCCGATGGCTAAGGAGAGGCGTCGTGCACATGTAGGAGTATATCTGATTAACCAATAATCATCAAGCTCAATTATCGATGTGCGCTTAGAGCTCTAACCGACCAGCCAAATCGAGACTGAGTACATAAGGTTAAAGCAGAAGCCCGTTAAGCCAATTAGTTGTTTAATGCTCATGTCAGGTCGGTCAAGTACCCTATTGTGGTCGGTTCAGATCAGGGAAAGACCCCTTGCCTTTTGGTATCCGACCAGGTCCCTAATATAAAATGAGTCAGTAACCCGTGATATATTCTCTATCATAAAATTTCAAATTTAACTTTTTGTGAGTTGTTTATATTGATTTTCTTAGTTCGAGACAATCATTTATGAATAGTTTAGGTTTGTTTATTTCATAGTTATCTTTTGTCAGTTAAAGTCACAATGCGTACTTCACTCAAAGCATACCCAAAGGTATGGTGGTGAACTTTTTTGTAAATCAACAATCAATCAATAATACTTAATATAACACATAATTGCATTGAGTTGTATACCATATATAATTTTCTTAATTTTTTAACACAAAAATTAAGTATTACTCCATATTTGTTTTAAAAGATACTCCGTACAATTTAATTTTATAAGAGTATATATATTTTAGTTAAAATTAATAGGTTTTCATTCCCATTGGACAGATCATAGAGGACACTAATACTTACATACACATGATGTGTTTTTGGGGACCCATGGCCTACAACTATGAGACTATTATTTGCGTTTTTATCCATAACTAATTTGACACGACTTAATAAGTTTTGATGCAATCACTCATTCATACTCGAGTTAGTTATTCATCATCTCCATGCCATTTGTTCATCTTCGACCTATAAGTAGCTATTCATAGGATAAATCACCTTGGTCAAACTTATTACAATGTAAGTATTTGTTCAACCTACTGAAGTACAAAAAGTCAACGTCTTTACACTAGAGTTCAAACTTGAGACCTCTCATTTGAGGGGCTACAACTATGCCGTTCAACCACAAGGCCTTTGGCAAAACTAAAACAAAATTAACACATAGACCCTGTGTAATAAAATAGTAAGTCTATTAGTTAATTTTGATTTTTTTGACCACTATTAACTTTTTAACTTTGTTAAACAATCAATATGAGTGTTTAATTAATTAACTTCTTATAACAACTTATATTGTTTCAAAACACTAAAATTCAAAAAGTGGCTCAAAAAAGCTTTTTAAGAGAATCATTTTGTATGTAATCAACTAACAGGTAATTTATCAAATAGTTTTCTACAATCAGCTAATGCTATCAATTAGTCAAACATACTAACTCAATCAACTAACAGCTATTTACCAAGCATACATAGACAAAGCAGCACATTTTTACAACAAAAAAGGGTTTAGTGCATAAATTAGTTTCCCAATTTTTTTGCAAATACTTCCTGTATTGCAGCAAATGCCTATCTACGAAAATTGAAAATCCCTGTGAAAGAAAGAAGAGGGGATGTAGTCACTCACTCCAAAAGCCATGCCATTGTATTTCATCTTCAAAGCCTCCACATAGAAACTACCCGCTACACATTTTTGGCAGCTAACAAGGCCAACAATGGAAAATAATAACAATAACAAAATTCATACATACCTTTGATCCCTTCCAGCATATTTTTAAGCAAAATAATGCTCAAAGATTCAGGGTTAAAAAAATTTTGCCCAAAAGTGGACGCCTTGGCTTGTATGGATTAATAGGACACAAAGAAAGAACACAGCTAGGGCTGGCTGTAAACAATGAGCAGAAGTATAAAGATCACAAAAAATAGTCCGGTGTCTTCCTTGTAGTGTCGGGCTCGATCTGTCGAGGAGCAGGGTCGAATTGAAGAAAATTCTGCTCCATGTTTTCCCCGATTTCTAGTATTGCTGCCATATTCCCACACCGGTAACAGTAGTTTGGAGCACTAAATACAGTCACAACATTCTTATCCTGCACAGTAAATGTCCCCCCAAAAGGACCATGTCACGATTGGAAACAATTAGCGTAAAGGAAATAGAGTTCCTCCTAGTTATGGTCCCTTAAAGAGAAAACTGAGCACAAGGAGGAGGGTTTGTTAAGGTCCACAAACCTGACACCAGTTGTAACCTTCCATAACAAGCTGGTGAGCTCTTGAAATGAGAGTGAGCCCATTGGTGTGGTTGAACTGAGCAGCTATATCCTGTCCAAAGGTGTACCCAGCCCCTCGAGGAGAAATTCCCCAACCACAACGATCATCCGGATCAGACCATAAGAGATCGCACATTGGCCCTTCATGGGGAACCTAGAGCACTCAAAAGTATAATTTGTGAGTAGTGGAAGAAAAGCAAATCAGGTGGGTAAAAAGCAAATATTACAAAAGAATTTGTGAAACTAATGATTGGTAGAACAACTGAACAAGAATTGTTATGACTAGCAGAGGGGCAAAGATAGAGAGAGTGAAAATGCAATCCTGTGTCAATCACACCTAGTGGACTAGTTTTCAAGTGGTCTTTCTTGGGAAAATCAATCAATAGCTCTAAATGAAGCAGCTTTTAGTAATTATGATATAGAATCATTTAGTAAACTGGCTGGGGCGACAACAAGACTAGCAGTATCACCCAAAATGAAAAAAGGAAAAATCTGAACAGGAAGAAAAAAAAATCATTTTAACCTTGGAAGTCTGAATGATTTTGATTTGAAATGCAATAATAAACAAAGGGGTTTCTAATATACTACATTGTTAGAGAGGGGGAAGCTGTTTGATAAAAGTATACAAACACACGCAAACAAAAGTTTTTGACTCTTTGAGAGCCTTTAACTTTTTGTACCTCCTGTATACGATCTAGAGCTCGAATGTTATCAAGTGTATCCAAAGATGGTGAAAGTCCTCCGTGCAAACAGAATACCTACAAATATAACAACTTCACATCAGCAAAACCCTTCTATAAGGTCATTCAAAAGAAATGTTTGTACAGTAACAGCTCATAAGTCATACCTGACTCTCAATAAGTGCTGTCAGAGGTAGATAATCAAAGAGATCTGTGAAAAACTTCCAAACATTGGCATTTCCATACTTCCTCAAACATTCATCATAGAAACCATACCTGGCAAGAAAAGAGGAATCTATAAAAAGGATGAATATAACATTCCACAAATAAGAAAGAAAAAGGCTGTAAATGTGTGGGATGATTGCTTTCTAAAAAGACATTGAGATTAGATCTCTATGACTGCTTAGATGTACATCTAGACCTACATGCCATGCACCAGAGAACGCAAATGAGAAGTGCAAACTTCTCCCCCTGTTTGTTTAAGCACAATAACATTACCATTCAACCTCAATTTATAGGATTTAAGAGCATTTGGCAAGGTACTAATCCAGCAACCAAACAACCAGTGTCATCTATTAAAGATGTAGATGGGGAGATGAAATCTGGTCCATTTATGAAAAGATAACCAAAAAATGATTCCATTCATATAATGTCCTGTTAGTAATCATAAAATCTTGAGTTAAAAAAAAAAACATTTTAGCAAGTTAAAAACTCACACTTGGGTAATTTGCCGACTTTCATGATTTCCCCTAAGAATTGTGATTCTATCTCTGTAACGAACCTTCAAAGCAACTAAAAGTGTAACAGTCTCCACTGAATAGTATCCACGATCTGCATTCAATGGATAAGTATTACTAATATGGTATATTAGACAAGTCATTGAGAGAAACTAAAACAGCACGGGAAAAAACCAATAAAAATGATACTAATTGTCATGGTAGAGTTTTCAACTATCTTACATTTAAGGGACTCAACGTTAAACACAATCAGTTTCAATGCATTCCATGCAAAAATAAAAATAGTAGATGCAAGATAAAGCATTAAAGCCTACTATTCTGCTCCTCTTTTATTGGAAACACCTAGAGTTACCAATATAGTTGAACAAGCAAAATGCAAAATGCAAAATGAAAGTTCTAACGATTCATGGAAGTATCCCACATCAGTACCCTGACAAATAAATGAATATAGAAGTGATTCTTAACAAATTTTTGTCTGCCATCCCTATAGTCATTGACCTGATTAAGTTAAGAGAAGAAAAATGATTCTCCAAGAATCATGAAGACGTCCTAAGGAATCCCCCTAAGGCCAAGTTGAATGGAGCCGAATATTTTTATGGCGGGAAAATTGAATTTGTTTAATCTCAAGCATCCCGAAATTTTAGCCATAACTAGCTTGCACTATTAGAGGACTTCCAACACCATGGATATTCAAGCCATTTTACATATTCCTAATGAGGAAAGAACCAAGTTTGCTATATCATATTGGAAAAGCAAATTCAAGGTTTTCAGAAAGATCTTATTCAAATTTCTTAAATAGAACTCAACAGATTGTCATAATTTTGCACTACCAAGTTTATAGTACAAAGATGCCAAGATTATGGTTATACTGTTATAGAAAATCCAAGGGATTGCTACTCATACGAGCTCATCAAATGTAAACCAATGATTGCTGCTCATATGAGCTCATCAAATGCAAAGCAATCAACAGAATTATCTGACATAAGTACACAAAATCCAGCTTCCTACTAATAAACAGGTCAATATCTCTGGAATCCGAGATAGGATATCCGAAACTCACCTACGTAATCTCCCATGAAAAGATAGTTGGTGTCAGGAGCTTTGCCGCCTATCCGAAACAGCTCGATCAGATCATAGAACTGCCCATGAATGTCTCCACAGACCGTGACTGGACATTTCACCGGCTGCACATTCCACTCCTCCACCAGAATTGCCCTCGCCTGATCACAAAGAGTCTTCACCTCCTGCTCCGTCAACGGCTTGCAGTCCATCAACTGCTCGATCTGCCGATCTACATCCGCGTGCGAAGGCATTCTATTTTATTTTATTTTATTTTCAAAAATCCCCCTTCTCTCCCTCCTCCGATCTGAAAATTTCCATGACGATTGAATCAAAACTTAAATCAAATAAAACCGAGGAGAAAATCATTTCAGTAAGCAGATTAAACAACAACGAACTCTCACGTACTGGAATTAAAATTCAGCGAAAAAAATTAAAACAGAATCAAAACAGCAAGCTCGCGGAAATTAGGGTTTCGCTCCCGTATTTCTCAGATTCGTCTCCATTTGAATCTCCTTTTCTCTCTCCTCCGGTCCTCCCTCTCTCTAGAAATGGAGCAAAAGCTTTCTGTACACAAATTTTCGTGTTTATATATTACAAAATTTATATTTATATATTCAAAAAAATACATAAAGAAATCGATATTTTACATGAATGTTTTTGTACGTATTTCGCGCGTGCGCGCGATTGGTATGAAGAGAAAATGTTTTTAAAAAATCGGTAAAAAGAGATAGGGAAAAGAGTGAGTAAATGATGCTGAAATGAAGCGAAATGAAATGGAAATGAGAAAAAACGTTTTCGCCACTCTCACTATTTTGGGAGTATTTTCTCTTCCTGCTTTCTCTCTCTCTCTAACGAGCTTCGTTGTTGATTGTGTATTTGCTGGCGACAAAACGAAAGGAAATTTCTCGCACCGGTGGCTCCGCCGGCTCTGAATCTACAAACCGATTGACACGTGTGGTGTCGCAAACTTGCGGTTGCAATATGTTTCGATTATACGCCATTGTCTATATAAAAAACAAAACATGTATATACTCCAGAAAATTCTTCTATGTTTTCTGTCTTTTTATTTTTTGTAGGAATAAGGTTCAAATTGGCCACTAAACGTAACCTGAATAGGCCACTGAACAAAAAAAAAGTGTAATTAGGTCATTGAACACTCAAAAATGTGCAATTAGGCCACTGAATTCTCCAAACGTATGCAATTTTACCGGATAGCAGGTTACCTGCTTACGTGACAGCTTAGTTGGCATTTTAAATAATTTTTAATAATTAATATTAATAATAAATTTTAGAAAAAATTAAATAAAAAATAAAATAAAGTCGTTTTTATTTTTAAAAAAAAAAATTAATAAAAAGTTATTATTAAAATTAATTATTAAAAATTAATTAAAATTTATTAAAAATGCCAACTCAGCTGCCACGTAAGCAGATAACTTGCTAAAATTGAGGGTAACCTGCTATCAGGTTAAATTACACATTTTTTGAGTGTTCAGTGGTCTAATTGCATTTTTTTTTTTCGTTCAGTGGCCTAATTGCACTTTCAGGTTACGTTCAGTGGCCAATTTGAACCTTATTCCTTTTTTGTATTCTGGTTTAAAAATTGGTTTATTAACACTTTATTTTTTAAATTTAAGGTTGCTTTATAATTAGAACATGAGACCCGAGTCATTTTATTGAAAAAATCTTACCCCACATGTTAAAGGAATGAGATTGCCCCAAATTTTGTTAGGCTATAAAGGCATGGTGATCCAAAAAGATACAAAAGATAAAAGAAAATAAATTTGTCATGACAAAATCGTCAGCGCCCATCCGGCCATTGACCGACGGGGCCAAAACCTCTACCATAGCAGCGCGCCTCAACCCACCAACCCACACCATTTCTTATTTATCAAAGCGTTACATCTTATATTTCTTCTAACTTCCCCAGACTAGCAGATTCACAAACTCGCCACGACCGGCCGACGATGTGGCCCGCTGACCACCTCAGCCCATAGCGACCCCAGCGAGCTTGATGTGTCTCGTGGTGTGACGGCGACGCCCCGTCGGAAGGGGGCACCTCGCCATACCTCCATGCCTACTGCCCATGTCACCTTGCTTCCACGCCTGCCGCCATCAGCCAAGGCGTCACGCCCCACGACTAGGACACAGCGGGGTGACGCGCCCAGCCTGCCTCGCCCCGCGGTAATCATCAAGGCCCCAACCTGCGCACACCAAAGGTGAGGGGTGCTAAGCCCACCGGTCTGGGTGCCGTGGTGCTCTGCAGTGTTTAACAAGGAGGAAAATACTAAAGTTAAATGAAAAATATAGTATGGTTAATGAAAAATAGATGAATTTTTACGTTTTTTTTTTTTTTTTTGTTGAATTCATTTTCCGCTTCTTCTTCGCTCCTTCGCTTTTTCGTTTTTTTTTTTTCTCCGATGGCAAATATGACATATCTTGACCACCGGAAAATAATTTTTAGCTGTGGGTACAAAAATTCACAGCCGAAAACTTATTGATTTCCGACTTAGAAACCCATAGATATGATTTTCCAAGTCATAACCCAGTTTGGTTTCCGACTTGAAAATCCATAATATGATCTTCCAAGCCGGAAACCAAACCAGTGTTTTGGTATGGTTTCCGACTTGGGAAATCAATCCATTGTTATATATATATATATATATATATATATTAATTGTATGTTAAATATTTGAATATTATACCGTCATAGACCAGAACACTCTATGATATATTTTGTTTGTGAATTTTGTTTTTATATTATGCTCATTTTTTGCAAAATGAGCTAAATACAAAAAGATAATTTTCAGTTATACAATTAAATATCAAATTTTTTTTTTTTTTTTATAAAAAATAACTCATTTTCCAAAAGTAATTTTCAAACCCATCCTAAAATATCAAATTTGAAAAAAAAAAAATAAAATTTGCGGGCCGATAATAGAGAACAATGTTAAGTCTGTTAACGCACCTCGCAGGTTATTAGCATAACATGAGAGCTGGGAAGTTCGTTAACAAGGTAACCATGGCGCTAATGACCAATCCGTGCAAGATTGCATCGCCTTCAACATCCTTACTCTTCTCTCCATCGCATACTGCTAACGCGCGGCAGACGCCACCTCCTCCCCGCTCATTCGTAGCGGCGAGCGATGCCTCTGAAAATGCCAACCAGCTTGATGCAATTTTCCGGAAAAAGCACGCTCTCCGATCAAAGATTCGTAGAGAGCTAAAGAACATGAGCCTGATTCAAAGATCCGAAGAAGGTATTGTTAATTTTGTTATCATATCATCTTCAAGCAAATAATTTTCCTGCGTATAAAATTGCATTCGTTCTGTTTGTATAATTGTCTCTTTGGAAATTTGTTAGTCATGTGCTTCAATGCCAAATTGCTAACAGCATGAACGTGGAATCGTTGAACAGAAACGATTAATAGGCGTTTACATTTCGTGTGATATGTGGCCGTTATTTGTTATTTGTTTTCGTATCAGATAATTCAATACAGAATATTGTATTAGAAGCTCCGTGGTTCAAATCCAGTCAGAGTTTGTGTACGTATATAAGCTCAGCTGCTTTACGTGAGGTTGATACATCGACAATTTTGGCAGAAGTTCTACACCATGTCCCCAGCAATAGTATGTACTCTGTTCTGACATCTACTATTGTCAATGAATTTGATATTTTTTTGAGATATTGCATATAGAGCAATTCATTATAGCATTTGTTTGTTAAAGGAGCCATTATTGCTAAAGTTGGATCAACCCTGAAGAATGAACACTTTGTCTCATTAGTCACCTTATAACGGGGGATGAAAGTCATGAAACTAAGCTTTGGTGACAAGTTGTTCATATGAGCAAGTAATAATTAGGCCATCTATCTTAAAAGCTCAACTTAAGTGCATTTTGGGTACTTTCTTTTGTTTGGTTGATCAAAATGGTGATAGTTTTGTGATGATCCTAGATAGAATAGTTTGTAAAGTTTGCTTCATTTTGCTTTGTTGTGATCCTAAAAGGAATAGTTTGTAAAGTTTGCTTCATTTTGCCTTGTAATTAGCCTAGGAGAGTACTGAGGCTCATAATGTGGTCTGTTTTGGTATCTATATAGTTCTAGCTTTTATGCCATGTCTTTTCCATCTAGAACTCTATAGGTGTTATTACTATCATCTTTTCCATCTAGAACTCTATAGGTGTTATTACTATCAATCAGGTCCTCGACATTGGGAGTACTTTCAGTAAATTAGATTTCTGTGAATATATTGGTAGGCATATAGATACGCACATATAGTAGTGCACCACTGCACCTAGAAATATAGTGTTAAGTTTTGATCTCATATTGGTTGAACAGAGCAGGAAAAACCAAAGAGAGTATATGTCCCGCGTGTAGAGGATAGATTTAGCAACATGAGGATGCTGAATATTTCAAGTTTGGATGATCTTGTCAAGAGCTCAATGGATATTCTAGAACCAGCCCCAGTGGATTCTGATGGCAAAGAACGTGAGGATGGTATGCTTCCTATGCTTTATTATTGTTCATTCCTCCAATTTCCATTTGGTTTCATTGGCGCTTATTATTGATCTGAAGGATTTACTTGGTCTAGTTATGCAGGCTAGTGAGCCAGTGGACTTGTTCATTGTACCTGGTGATGTCCTTTGTCCTGTTAAACATGTTTCCTTTCCCTGGACAAAGTTTCCACTTCTGAGTTCTGATTGCTTGCTTACATCATTATTTTACTAGGGCTTGCATTTGACAGATCTGGAAGGAGGTTGGGACGCAGTGGTGGGTAGGTTTATTCGTCTTGGCTATAGCTGTTTTCTTCTAATTATTAGTTGTAACAGAAAAATAACTTTGTGTAGTTAATTATTGCTATCTTCATTTAAAAATTTTTCTTAGTGCCACAATTTTTTATATTGGATACAATATTGAAAAGCAAAGTTGCAGAATTTAAAGTGGTCCCTGTTTCAAAAAAATAAATAAAATACTATGTAAATTGATGTGAGATTCATTTTTTTAGCCCACCATTCTATTGAGGTTAGTCTCCTTCACTGCAGCCTGTCCTCCTCTTGATTCACACAGAATTGATTTGCTGTTGCATTGGAACACTGTTTCAAATATTATCATTTTGAAATCCCTTCATTCCCTACAATAGCTTCATTTATACGAGATGCTGATATTCTTTTGGATGCCATTCTGATTTCATGCTTTAATTTTGCAACCTTCCAAATTTGATGTGGCTTTTGCCTGAAGTTATTATGATCTGTTCCTAAGAAATTATGAAGAGCTTGTCAAGAGAAAGAACTGGAAGCAACCGCTACTTGGTAAACTCCCATTTTACAGTATTCTGCAATTCTGCATTCTCAACACTTCATTTGTCCATAAATACATTATTCCATGCTACCATGTTTATCAATACCTTTACAAGTTACATTACACAAATCCTAAGCTCTTGTAATCTCTCCTTTTATATTATATCACGCCAGTTTATACTCTCTGGTTTGCAGTTGCGCTTGCATATTCCATACAAGTGGTGGAAGAGGGAGCTATACCCATCACTCCTAATGATGTTCCAGTCGACGCACTTGTTTCTCCAGCAGGTTTTATTCCCATTAGCCCAATTGCCAAGAAACTACATGACTCCACTGTTGCTTTCTGAGAAACCAAATATCATGTTAATTTAGTTATCCTCAGTACTGCAAATGCTGGTGCTGCCTCCCCATTGTTAACCTGAACATACATGATGATGGTGGGATGAATTTCAACCTATAGTTAACTATGTAACTTGCCTTAGCTTTTAGCATTGCAGGCTATGGATGGTAACTAATTCACTTCACACCCAATGGTTCTCTTTTATATATCATTATTATAATATCTGTCAAAATTGAATTACTATTAGGTTTTATGCATGTGGGGTGTTGTTGGATTTAATGTATGTGAAGTACTGTCAAATTTTATGTATCTAGGGTGCTGTTGGATTTAATTTATGTAGGGTGTTGTCAGGTTTTATGTGTATGGGGTGAAAAAGGCAATGTCCTTGTCTTGGCCTTACATCCCAGCTAGACAGAACGGTGGAGAGGTAAATTATGTTAATTCAATGGCCTTTTAAATGGGATAATTAGTGTTAGATGCTTACAAGGAGCCCACCACACTAGGAGTTGTTCTCACATTGTGATGATCAAAACTCGAATCTATATTTTAGGGTGTAATCTGTCAGGACCCTGATTCAACAAAATTATAAAAGGGATAAATCATGATAACTTAACATTATTTTAAGCGAGATAATTAGTACATAATATCTATAAGAAACCCACCATATTAGGTATTGTTTTCATATTACTATTGTCAAAACTCAATTTTATGTCTTAGGTGCAATATGCTACCAAGTATCAATTGAGCTGAGTTGTGCATGAGGCTGAACATTTTTTATTTTTTTGAGTGCTATTGAGTCACAGTTATGTCGCTCGATCATAATGTCTATTCATGACCTATCCAGCAAGGCCCGACATTTATTCTTTGAGTCTGACATCACTCCTGCAACGTGGCATCTGCTGAATGGCCATCACCAAATCAACGTCAAACTCCACTACCTGAAATTTCAAGAAAATCCTATGGTTTTTTTTTTTTTAAAGACAAATCCTATGGTTTTGTTAGTTCAATTTGCATTAACAAATTTGGAATTTTTGGATTTGGATGCTTGCGAGAAGTCACGGAAGTGGTAATAACTGTTAGAATGGCATCCATTCCCACGCGCTATATCACGAGCGTGTTTCCACACGCCCAAATATCACCTCCGCCCCCATTTGCAAGGAAACAAAGTCCCAGCGGAGCTTTGAATATAAATCTAGGGAAATACTAATCTTAACGCGGTTTAAAAATATAGTTGAAGCTTGAAATAGTCATCTTAGTATAATCATATATATGTTAATGACGAAGTTCAATCGTTGAAAAGACAAATTTCTTATCATTTTCAACTTCATTTTCGATCACGAATATTGGAGCAACAATTCGAATATTCTGCCGGAGATTGTAATCACCGCAGCCGCGTATCCTCTTCCGTCCGGTGAGATTTGGACGATTTTTGGAGGAGATGGGCGGATGGAGGGGATCTAGATCGGGCAGCGACGGATCGCCGATAATGGAGCGTATCTCATCTTCTCGCACCGTGCAGCTCGGTAAGGTCCAGCCACAAGCTCCTGGTCATCGGACCGTGTTTTGCAATGATCGTGAAGCCAACGCCCTCGCCAAATTCAAGGTCAGAGTTTAGTTCTTCTGCCTAAGTAATTACTGTTTTTTATGAAAGATTCAATTCTACAGTACTTTTAAGTTAGTAAGTTTCAGTTTAGGGGATTGGAGATGGGATGGTGGAGAATGAGTTTAGGGATCAGTGATCGGTTTTAAGGCGATGCTTTGGTCTTCCAAGTTCGAAGGGTTTATCGAAGGTTTAAATTTGTGAGCAATGCATGGGGATGAAAGGGAAAAGGAAGTACTGGATAAGATGGGGATTTTTTTTTTTTGGTCGTACTGGCCAAGTTTTTAGCGGTTTAAGATGTTGTCTTCATCAATAACTTTTGTTGTGCCATTTGAACTCTTGTTACCATTTTTATTCAGTTTAGTTTTGCCAGTAAATTAGAAATCACCGTACTCTTATTTTGCTCATGAGAAATGGATGGAGCTTATTGGGACTCGTCTTTGGTTTGCATGCATCAATATTTCTAATTAATTCAGCGTTGGCATTGATTGGTACTGCTTAATTATGGGATGCTAAACTTACTTTTGGTTGCTCTTGAATTGGAATATTAAGATATGCTCCTACTTGAAACCAACTAACAAGCAGGGTTGAGTGCTGAATTACAGATGATGATGAGACCCTGTAAAGTAATTTTTTAGTGAAGTCTGAATGGCTGAGTTCACATATTTGCTTTGGTAGCTAATAGATTGAACAATGCTATATTTCTGTGCTTCTTGGGTAGTTAATTACAGACCTTGAGGCTTGGCAAGGGAATTAAAGGGATTTGCTAATTAATATTAGTTTAAATTTTAAAACTGGTGGTTTTTGTCAACCAATGAAAAGGATGGATCTTATTGAGCTGCAAGATGTACTTCACAGAATCTCCTCCACACCATGTCACTATCTATGGGTTACTATTCCCTCTCCAATCCTTTATTTGGTTATTTTAAGCATTTGGGTTTAGGTGGTGGCCTTGCCTAATACTAAATTTTGGCATACAAAGAAAAGGGGAAAAGGTTAGGGTCGTTATTGAAGGGTTAAAGCTTTTTGAAATCAAATGCTTGGTACTATCTTTAAGAAATCAGACATCAAATCAAAATCTTGTCTTGTCACATGCAAAAGAATATCTATGTAATTGTCTTTCATGTAAAAGTCAATGCTTCTTGTTTAACGAACTCCTTTCAGCCTTAATCCATTTGAGGACTACATAGATTCTCCATTCAACTCTTTTTAAGTGCTAAATGTGCAATGCAAATTTGACTACTCACGTTTCGCTTAACAGCTTCATCATCATTCTAATAAGTTTTAGCTCACCTCTCTCTATATGCTCTTCTCTTAACTACTACGTTGTCATTCTTTTTAATCAGTTCATGTGTAGATCTTTACTAAACATGTTAAACCATGGTATTTGAGTTTATTCCACTGAGAGTTTCCCTGGATACATCACTTTTCACTGTATGTTGGAGATTGTATTATCAAATAAAATGAAAGTGGAACTTCTCCATTTCAATGAATCAGATTTCAAGTATATGATTTTTATCATCATCTAACTTGAATGGCTTTAATAAAAAATAGAACTAAGTTTTTGGAAGTGCTTACACTTTAGCTCATTCATTACATCTGTGTTTATGATGTAGCAAACAGAGAATGACAAAGATAATGGAAATTTCATTTCTTAAAATAACTGCAATAGATACATGTGCTACACATTTACACCTGATCATTTATTTTTGTGTTGGTTGAGATTTCTTATCAGAAAAGGTTAAAAGAAGTATGTTTGAGAAGTTGTTAAGCTACACTTCATATTAGTGATAATGTGCTTATGCACAACTATACAAGTATGCAACAGTACTACGTCTGTTTTTTGGTTTAAGGTGAAGCCCTTCTGATGAGCAGAGAAATGATCTTCTTTTTTCTTCTAGGCAAACTCCGTATCGACTACAAAGTACGATGTGTTTACCTTCTTACCAAAAGGTTTATTTGAACAGGTAATATTTTCCTCTATATTATAAAGAAAATATAAATTGTGTATCATGTTGAATTATAATGAACGTTCTGCATTACTTGTTGAAATAAGTATTCAGTATTACTTATAAAAAAAAGTACTCTATTTATATATTTTCAGGTTGGATAATACACATTGTTACAGTTTGTTTTGGAATAAACATGATTGCTGCTAACTTGCTAACTTATATTCTTCAACCTGTATTTCTGTTCACTTTTATCTTATTTTTGGTTCTGTATTTTGTTTATGCTGACAGTTCAGGCGGGTGGCTAACCTCTACTTCCTTATGATATCAATTCTGTCATGCACTCCAATCAGGTATGTTTCTTCAGCTGGATAAAACCTTAAAAAATATGCCCAATTGAACATAAGGATAAAGTGAAAAGAAGAAAGTTAATCTTTGCATCAGTTTATTGAGATTTTTTTGTATCTATAAATTTTTGTTTTGGTGCAGTCCTGTGAGTCCGATAACAAACGTGGTTCCTTTGAGTTTGGTGCTTCTTGTTTCTCTTATAAAAGAGGCATGGGAAGACTGGGTATGTGCCACTAGCTAAATATGCCATTATTTTTATGAATGATCATTTGCTGTGAGAGTATTTCTGTGACAGATCATTAACTTGAGTCTTGCATAACTTAAACTCTGCAGTCTATTTTAATGTGCTAGAACTACTGCTTATATTTTCTCTTCAAAATTGTGCACAGAAACGTTTCCAGAATGACATGTCAATTAATAATACTCCTGTAGACATCTTTCAAGATCAGAAATGGATGAGTGTTCCTTGGAAGAAGCTTCAGGTTGGGGACATTGTGAGAGTAAGTAGACCGCTAATAATTACTTCCCTCTTTAATTTTTAATATTTATGGGCTAATTTTGTTACCATTTTCTTAGTCATATCAGTAGATTTTCCTCTTTCCGTGTCTTCTTGGCATACATAATAAACTATTGCATTGTCTTCTCTTGCAATTTCCATTGTTTTAGTAAGAAAGAAAAATTCTAAATTTGCACACTTTACCAACAATTCAAGAACTTCAATTTATTAGACTTTTGCTCATTGCCATGTCATAATGCCGAACTGTTATCAGTAGGTGGGCCTGTTTTTTATTTTTATTTTTATTTTTATTTTATTTTTATTTTTATTTTTTATTTTTTAAAGCAAGATTTGTGTCTAGAATTTTCAGGAACATAAAGTGTTTTTTGTTTTTGACTTCAGAACACATCATAAAGACAGTCTACTTATTACCCTCTAAATATTGGTGATTAGTTTTAAAAGTCTAGTGACTGTAGTCATGTTTTGTAGTTATAGACTTATAGTGTTAGATGCTTGACAATTCACTGTAGTATGAGTAATTAATGGTTGCTATTGTAACAGGTTAAACAAGATGAATTTTTTCCTGCAGACATAGCATTTCTTGCCAGCACAAATCCTGATGGGGTTTGCTACGTTGAGGTAGGACTTGGCTTTTCCTTGGGTGTTCTTCTGTATTCTGAGAATTGAGTACTTGTAGCTGGTCAGGAAATGGAGTGAATATTCTTTTAAAAAAAATTAATGGGATAGAATTATATATATATTTTTAATGTTTCATCTGTCTCTGTGTTGCCCCCTCCCTTCCTCCTATAACTCTCTTGAAATTATGCTGCAGACAGCTAACTTAGAT